CATCTTTTTGATGAGTATGGTTTTCATCTTTTGTTTTTAAGCGAATTCAAAGTGAAAGATGAGAGTAATGTCATGAAAGACTAGCTTAAGGTCCCTCGAAAACCTGTTTGCTTTGTTGTAGCCAGTGCAAACTACCTGCACCTAATCGAGCAGGTCATCTTCATATGATTCTAATGCACTGGTTTCCAACCTGATTATTATAGACTCTTTGTAGTGTTCAAAACTGAAGGAATGGGCCTAATGTTTCTGGGTGTGGACAGAATAGTCACTATTATAGTCGTATGCGACGATATATATGTATCGGTCACGCAGCCTGTTCTTCTATTCTAAGAAATGAAATATTTCATCCTAGTAACAGATGTTATTCGATACCGATAAACGAACATGTTTTTAAAAATAATGGAATATCTCGTTATTAGGTTGAGGAAATTAGGCTGCTAATTTATTGTTTTTGATATAATGGAATATGCATACACCTGTGTGTCCCCCTCACTGGAATATGATTGGCTGGTGTCCGTCATAAATACCGACGGATGTGTAGGTACGACAGAGTCAAGAGCCTCAGTCTGAGAGCTACGCCATTGATCTACACTTCCTACCTGCGACTACGACGCGTACCAGTCGATTACTGCTACCGTATTCTACTTGGTAATATTAGCCAAAACCACTTAGCTAGTTCGTTCAAATATATCCCTTTCTGGGATATATCAGTTTTTTTTTTTTATATTTTTATTTTTAATAATAAAAGAAATTTCTTATGTTAAATAACAGTTAAATTTATAGATAAAACGCGAGATTACTCATGCAAAAAATACAAAGAATACAATTATAAAATTAATTTAACATGATTGACATTTTTGGTGGTAAATTTCGTGTCGGTTACGATTGACAATTACTCTTTTAATCATCTTAAATTACGAAAGTCTTTTCATAACTCATCATTAGAAGGAATTGTCTCAATTTCAAGATTACTTATGAAGAAATATAAATAAATAAAAACAATTGCAAAGTTTTGACCGCTGATTAAATTTCTTTAAATAGATCTTTTTTTTTTTAATCAGATTTACTCCAAACAAGACAGTAAAACCACTAAGACACAAGGGGTTTACTGTGCGCAAAAGAATTAGAAAACAAACATTATTAAGGAGCGAGAACAATAGAAGAGTAATCAGGAAGACAGCCATTGACGTTGCATTTAAATTTTTGAAGATCAAATTGGAAAGCATGGAGCCAGAAGGGAATTACACAAGTGAGAAGTGCGAGAAAAAGAATCTACTAACATAGAACTTACGGTTACATCTCGCCAACTCAATCGATCTCCAATGTTGAATAAAAACTGTTAGGGGATATAATTAATACGTCAGCTGACTTTAGAAGACTGAATTCTGAATTCCTGACCAAAACCACATGTGTCCCATAATAAATGCTACACATGCATACACATTTCATAAACCAAATATAACAATTATTATGGGACAGTGGCTACGTAATAATATCATGTAATACGTCAGTCCCATAAGGTTTTAAAGGGGAGAATCCTTTCATACGAGAAACAATAATATAAGTTATAGAAATAAAAATGCAGTGCTAAAAACATGGAGAAAATATAATCAATGCGGTTGTAAAATTATTTAAATATCGTCGCCAATTTTGATAACTAAACTAATGAATATATATCATAAAAATAGGGCGTCTATTTCAGATACGAGTATACACTGTAATAACTTTTGAAGCAATAAAACGACGGTATAAAAATAAATTCAGTAAAAGTTTCATGTTAGCTTAATTTGGGTATTTCTATTTATTAGCGGTAGACTGGTTGCCAAACAAGGCTATAGGATCCAATCTGTCTTGCTATTCAAACAAAACATGATACACGCTTGGGCGATCATGTCTAATTCGCTTCTTGACTGACTAGGCAGAAGATTTTCCCGCAGTAGGTTGCCGTCTCTTTCAGTGGTAGACTGGTTGTCTAACAAGGCTATAGAATCCAGTCTGTCCTGCTACTCAACCTATACGTGATACACACTTGGGCAATCATGTCTCTTTCGATTCTTGACTGGCTAGGCATAAGTTTGTCGTTTCTTTCTGCGGTAGACTGGTTTATAGCCATGACTATAGGGGCCACATTTTTTTTACTCATACTGATTTTTTTTTAAAAAAAGGCAAATTATTTCTTACATGCGACAATAGAGTTAATTTTATAAGTAAAAATACGAGAGTCCTCTTTTTAATTTTGAAGTTCACCCTATACAATGTTCAAGGACCACTTAAGATAGAGGCTTAGAGATTTAGAAGCAAAGCTTATGCGGATATGTGTGGAAGATAGCGATTAACCCAAGATTTGAAAAAGAAAAGATTGTAGTGATCGAGGAAGCAACCTCTTGGCAGTCGGTTCCAGAAGGCAGTGGCTTGTGGGAAGAAGCTGCTCAACGGTAATGAGGACGGTTCGCTACAATATACGAGGCGTGTCGAGTTTTAGTCGTGAGGGTTATGACTGGTGGGACTCAGAAGTGTAGCGTTATAATACATCGATCACTGTTTTATTAATACCAGTATTCAATGTACGATAGTTTACATACATACATATATATATATATATATATATATATATATATATATATATATATATATATATATATGAACATTGAATTCAACACTTAGAGACGACAGGCTGTTTCACGCTAGACGCAATCGTCAGGCCATGAGTGTTGATTTTTTCTGGGCTATTTATATATACGGGTCACTGGTGCATTGTGGGTAGTCTATTTTTGCGGTTATTTTGCCGGAAGTCGTTTATTTGGGTTAAATTATTTTGCTTGTTTTTATTTATTTTGATTTTTGATTTTGATTTTTTGATTTTGATTTCTTATCTTATATATATATATATATATATTATATATATATATATATATATATATATATATATATATATATATATATATATCCAGGTAAAATGAGAACGAATAGTGTATAATTCCAACGTTCGTAACATTTAATTTAAAACAGAGCTCAATACTAAGTAGAGCAATATTCTTTATTTTAGGATCTTACATCGAAAACATGGCAAAAACGCTACGCAAATGCAGTCGTGTTTCGATGTTTATCAACGCATCTTGTCTGGCGATTGGAAATTACTGGTGAGTGAACGATTCATTTAAATTTAAAAACAAAATACAGTCTCTCTTTACGAACAAAGGGAATAAAAGAAAAATGGCGTGGTTATAAGGTTTGTGGGTTTTACTCGGATCAATCGAATATGACCTAGGTTAAATTTAAACTAAGGGAAGAAGCAAAAATTCAGATATTTTTCATAAATGGGTCATGATCCTTAGGTTTGAAATCAATGGCAGCAACAGAATTTTTGCTTCTTTCCTTAGTTTAAATGTAACTTAGGTTATACTTGTTTGGTTGATCTGAATAAAGCCCACAAACCGTACAACGACCACGACTTTTTTCTTTTTTATTTTCGTAAGAAAAAAGGCTGTATTTTACTTTTTAAATCTAAAAAATCGTTCACTCAGTTATCATCTGATGGGGTACATTGTTATGCATCAAAAACAACAGCAATGGTGTACTGATTTTTGACATCTTATATGTAATATATCCTAAAATAATAAATGTGTGTGTGTGTTCATTTATATATATATATATATATATATATATATATATATATATATATATATATATATATATATAAAAGTGAACATTGAAGTTAACACTCCAGGGTCAACGAGCTGTTTCATACTAGAAAACATGAAACAGCCTGTTGCCTCTGAGTATTGACTTAAATGTTCACTTTTATATTTATATATTTACATACGCTCTCTGACATTGAGTACTTTATCCCATATAGCACACCTTAAAACTATATTTCTTCATATAAGTGAACATTGAAGTCAACACTTAGAGGTGACAGGCTGTTTCATGCTAGACGCAATCGTCAGGCCACGAGTGTTTTTTTTCTCGGCTATTTATATGTACGGGTCAGTGGTTCATTGTGGGTAGTCTATTTTGGCGGTTATTTTACCGAAAGTCGTTTATTCGTTTATTTATTTGTTTGGGTTAAATTATTTTGCTTGTTTTTATTTATTTTTGTTTTTTATTTTTATTTCTTATCTTATTTATTTATTTTTATTTTAATCGGTGTTTCATTAACGTAGTAAAAATTTGTTTATATCGCTTATTTAATAGTTTATATATATATATATATATATATATATATATATATATATAGATAGATAGATAGATAGATAGATAGATAGATAGATAGATAGATAGATAATATTAGTGGTAAATATACACATAGATATGCAAAATATATAAATATATATATACATACACATACATATATATTTGTATAAAAAAAAACATTATTCCAAGAGGATAGAATCCAGGTAGAACTCAATGTCCAGGACAGAGTAAGGATATAATAAAAAGGCTTAAACACCAATATTCCATGGTCATAATTTATTCCATTGGAATCGTAAATACGATCAAATTAATCAGACCTATCGTTTAATAATCCAAACATATTATGTATATTTTTAATTTAAACCTTTCAAATTCACACCATAGTTTTTGTTATTTCTTTTATTTTCCAAAGATTTTAAAACATTGTTGCTATACTCAGAGGGCAGTCCGCTATAATGTGCGTAGCATGGCGGGTCTTAAACATCAAGGTTAGAAATGGGAGATCTAAGGAATTTAATTCGTCTTAGCCATTTCTACAGAAATAGCGATAGAGCCCAGAGATGTTTGCCTCTCTTGCAGAAAATATAACCAATACCATTGCAAAATTGTGTAAATATTATTCATATTTGAGCTAATGGCCTCATTATTGCCGTTGTTTCCATAACGTTTCCTACCGTGGCGCCACCCGGTCTTCTTCAGGGATATGTCGATCCGGGTAATTTTCAGGTAAATTTCGAACTGAATTCTTTATTTAATCTACAGGGGTAGATTTTTCTTGTTTGATTGTCCATATCTAGAGATATCACTTCTTGAGGTTTCTTTAGTATTAAAAAAAGAAAGAAAAGAGAGAGCGAGAAACAGAGATAAAGAAAGAAACGGAGAGAGTGAGAGAGAGAGGGAGAATGGAAGAAAGAAATAGAAAGAGAGAGAGAAACAGAGAAAAAGAGAATGAAAGAAACGGAGAGAAAGAAAGAAACAGAGAAAAAGAGAATGAAAGAAATATAGAGGGAAAGAAAGAAACAGAGAGAAAGAATGAAAAGATAGAGAGGGAGAAAAACGGCGAGAGAGAAAGAATGAAACAGAAAGAAAGAGAAAGAATGAAACAGAGATCGAAAGAAAAAACAAAAAGAGAGAATGAAAGAAATAGTGAGAGAAGGAATTATAGAGAGCGAGAGAGAAAGAAAGAAACAAAGCAAGAGAGAATGAAAAAATAGAGAGAAAAAGAAAGAGAGAATAAAAGAAATAGAGAGAGAAAAAACGAAGAGAGAGAGAGAGAGAAAGAATGAAGCAGAGCGAAAGCGAATGAAAGAAACAGAGAGAGAATGAAAGAAATAACGAAAGAAACAGAGAGAGAGAGAGAGAGAATGAAAGAAATAGAGTGAGAAAAACGGGGAGAAAGAGAGTAAAAGAATGAAACAGAGACAAAGAAAATGAAAGAAACAGAGACAAAGAGAATGAAAGAGAGAAAGAATGAAAGAAAGGGTGAGAGAGAGAATGAAAGAAATAGAGAGAGAAAGAAAGAATCAGAGAGAGAGAGAGAGAGAAAGAAACAAAGAATGAGAGAATGAAAGAAATAGAGAGAAAAAGAAAGAAACAGAGACAGAGAGAATGAAAGAAATAGCGATAGAAAGAAAGAAACAGAGTGAGAGAGAGAGAAAGCAAAAAAAAAGAGAGAGAGTAAAAAAGAAACAGAGAAAGTGAATGAAAGAAATAGTGAAACAGAGAGAAAGAAAGAGAGAGAGAGAAAGAAAGAAAGAAAGAAAGAAAGAAAGAAGGAAACAGAAGGAAAGAAACAGAGAGTGACAAAAAAAGAAACAGATAGACAGAGAGAAAAAGAAACAGAGATAGTAAATGAAAGAGAGAGAGAGAGAATGAAAGAAACACACAGAGAGACCGAGAAGGACGAAGATGAGATATACCTAATTATGAGCAGCAGCACGAGCACAATTTACAACATGGGTCCAGAGGGAAATTCCTCGAGAGTTACCCGGATCAACAGACCCCCTGAAGAAGGTCAGAGCGCACAACGACCAGAACGTTTTGATACTAACACGAAAGATGAGGACATTATTCCGAATGTAAATAATATATAAAAAAGGATTACTTTTAAATACTGACATTCAAAGACATCTGAAGAAGGCCCGGGAGACACAAAGGCCGAAACTTTGTGAAAATAACAACAAAGATAGGAACATTTTGACCGAATGTAGCTACGCATTCCAGAAATCCAGAGACGCCTGAAGAAGGCCGGAGCGGACAGCGGCAGAAATGTTATGACAATAACAAGAAATTTCGTAGAAAATGAAAATGAATATTGTCATAAAGAAACGATGAAGTCTAAACCAAAATGCGTACGCGCATGCTCAGGAATGTATGTGTGTACGTTGGTGAATATAAATGTTTTGAAATATATATACGTATATATGCATGTACAATTATATATATATATATATATATATATATATATATATATATATATATATATATATATATATATATATAAGAGATTGTTATATTAAGTTTATTTATATGCATATATATAGACATTAATGAATATATATATGATAAAAAATTATGTCTGTTTTCTCTCACTCAAAATCTAACAAAAGTGAAACACGTTAGATTGATATACGTTTCCTATTTGTTTTTTATTTTCTAATATATATATATATATATATATTAGAAAATTATATATATATATATATAATATATATATTAGAAAATTTAAAAAACAAATAGGAAACTTATAACAATCTAAGTGTGGACTTCAATGTTCACTTTTAATTATTTATTCGAAATTATAACATAAATATGTTATAAAATCACTACAAAAATAGCCATTAAATGGCTATTTTTTGTAGTGATTTTTACATATTTATGTTATAATTTTCTTTATATATATATATATATATATATATATATATATATATATATGAAACATGTTAGATTGCTATATGTTTCCTTTTTGTTCTTTTATTTTATCATCATCTATATATGTGATGCAGATGAAATATATTAGAAAATTTTTCTTATGAGGCTGGATAAAAAAAAACAAATAATTACCCTCCCTCCACCAATACATTTACAATACACTTGCTTTTCTTCTCTTCCCCGTTCTTCTTCTTCTTCTTCTTCTTAACATCCTCCTCCTCCCTTTCCATTCCACCCAACATCATGCACTTTTTTATTTATTTTTTAAAAAATAATAATGCGTTCATTAGTTCAATTTTTAAAAAAAGCGTTAAGATGTCATTTTATAAAGATCGCCTGAGGATACCGCAAGGTTGAAACCAAGGTAGCGGAATCAACTAACCTCCTGATTTGTAAATATAAGCCTAAGTGTAAAAAAACATTTCTTAAGCGCAACTTTATACTGAAACAAATAATAGTCAAATATATACTTTTGACATAATCTACTTTTTGTCAATGCACTTAATTCAATCGGGAATAGTAATTATCTATATTGAACATTCATCTTTTCATTCATACTCGTTAGTGTGTGTATATGTGTGTGTAAATATATATATATATTGTTATGTAAAAATATAAGACTAAGTTTGTAACTGTAAAAACATATGTGTGAGTATGCAATCATATATGTGTATGTAAACTAAACATGATTGTGTAAATTATATGGTGTATAGAAATGTGTTTGTAATTATATGCGTTTAACGGTTTATGTAGATGTGTGTATTTTTTATGTTATTTCACGTTATGAGTCGAAGTAAAAACAACGTTATTGCCTCGAAATAACTTACTGAAGATTTCTTTTTTTTTTTTTCAATTCTGCTGTCCATTGTATGAAAAGTTATTCTAAAAGCTAAGGTAAATATAGATAGAACAAAATATTAATAAATTAATAATCAATTATCTATTTGCTTTACACCGTAAGAAAAAATTTCAGAATATTTCAAACAGAAATAAATAGACCAAGAGGGTTCGTGCGCCCAGAGGTTGGGAACCATTTTATTTCTGTAGGAGATTTATTAAAAAAACAAAACAAAAAAAAAAAAACACGCTCCGTTATAGATTTTTTTTGTAAGTTATTGGATTCAGAAAGGACATTACCCCCAGCTAAAAAAAAAAAAAAAAAAATCTCAAGATATTGCTAATGCGAAAAACTCATAACAGTAAGTATTATTTACCCGCTGCCCAACGCAGCAAGATGTGGCACAAGGCCGAGTTTTAAAGTGGAGTATCCGAGCCCGTAATCTCAGGCAAAAATTCCCTATAGACCACATAAAAACGGAGTCAGTTTCCCGAGACGAGACTTAAACAGTAAGTATGTAAGTGTGACTCAACCATAGCTACCTATCGCAGGTTTTATTCATAAAAAAAAAAAATGTCGAGCGCCAAATGTTGTGATATATAAAGTTACACATCTGAAGTTTATCAATGTGCATTTGTCGTGTGCGTATTTCTTCACACACGCATTAGGCATAGCCTAGGCAAGGACAAGGCCGCTGAGAGGAAATTCGGTTAAAAACAGAATGTTGCACCAATTTAGAAGGGTTTGCAGGCTTTTATTGTAATTTAAAATATTGCGTTTCACTAGTGGGTTGGTTAATCCAACATTTCGTTTTGTCTAACATCGTGCGCTCGCTTTGGTCTTGATAAGTTGGTTTTGATAATTACTGGAAATCTAATATGTACTGTTGAATCGACGAAGCACTGTCAAATTGTTATGACTAAGTTTTTCACTTTTTTTTTACTTTCATTTTAAATGAATTTTCATTTTTATAAGTTATTTTTTTTAATTACAACTTAATTCAAACCAATCGACACACTCACTTTCGTAAAAATAACGATATTCGTATAAAAGTAAAAAAAAAAAAAAACAAAGACAGCAACTCAAATAGTTTTGGTGAAATTAAATACAAAAATAAATAAGCTTTACTCAAACTTATATTCATATTTCAGACATTTTCGTTATATATATATATATATATATATATATATATATATATATATATATATATATATATATATATAAGACCATCGACCTTAACAAATTTTGAGGGAATGAAAATACTGTACAGCTTCTGTTCCGTTCCATAAAACTTCTGTCCACCCGTCGTCCGTGCGGGTTCTTTTAACAATAGGGTACCTACCGGCCAATGCCTGGCAGGGTACCTGAGCTCGCTTGTATAGCCAGCGCTCCTGTCTGTGTGAGAAAGAATTAGTCATACAAATTTCAGAGGCATAGTTACCCAGAAAACTGGAGACGTCGCAAGGGGCCGGCAAACTTAGATTATCAAACGGCCGGTTTTGCAAAGGAAACACTTTCTTCTTTTCGTAGACATATGTAAACTGGTACCAAAAGAATTCGTCCCAAATTCTGTTTTCATCCTCGCGGAAGAAGAAAATATCGACATACGGCCAGCGGAAAGGTTTTTCTTTCAGGTGTTTCGATTCGGCTCGATAGAATTTCCATTGTTTGTGCGGTGGTGCGTACAGCTTATACTCGGGTTCGTAGGAACTAAGAACCCGTCGGATAGCGTCTTTCTGGGAAGAATTCATCATAATATCAACGTCATCGTCCCAAGGTATAAACCCATGGTGCCTGTAAGATCCTAGTAAACTCCCGCCGTACAGAAAATAAGTAAGGTTCTCCGAATCGACTGCCTTAGAGAAGATCCGTGTAAGTTCCAAGAGCAGTCTGTAGTCGGTGACAGTAATCCTTGGACGGAATTCGCGCAGAGAGGATTTGTTGTCGTCCCCAAGCCGTATTTTTCCAGCGTAAAAATGGTAGCTTATCAGGGAAGCAGTGACTAAGAAGAGGGCACATAGGAAACGCTTGAAACGTCGAAGGCAGAATAGAAACACCATGAACGACTGCGACAGGGACATGTCGGAGTCACATCATTTTTTTTTTTTTTTTGTATATTGTTTTGGTTCAAACTCAGTTAGCGAGGGTCTGGTAGATGTGAAAGTGTATATTTTCAGGTAGGTATGTGCGTCTGCAAGCGTGTGAATACTCAGAATGCGAAATGCGGAGGAAAAAACAACAACAAACAAAACAGAAAACGTAAGAGGTTAAAAATCAAGAAAGAAAGGATGAGGTGGAGTAAGAAACAAAATAAACAAAAAGAAAAAGCAACAAAGAAAAATTAACAAACAAAAAGGAACCGTGAAATATAAGTACTAAACTTAAAGTAAAAAGACTAAAAAATAGAATAGAAAATCGTGGAGATAGATAGATAGATAGATAGATAGATAGATAGATAGATAGATAGATAGAAGTTGTTATTAGAATGATCTTGGCGTGGTTTTTGTTTCTGTGTTGTCTCTACTAACAGTTGGCGCAGGGTCGGCAGTGGTTCTGGTGATGCGTTCAGAACAGAGGTTGGGTGCGGTTATGGGTGTGGATGGAATGAGGGCGGGTGTTTCTTTGTGAGGTGGAAGCAGATGATGATGATGAAGAAAAAGAAGAAACAGAAGAAGAAGAACAAGAACAAGAAGAGACGTAGAAACGCTCGGTGGAGGATGATGTGTCAGGCGTAGTGAGGCTGCTACTTAAAGCTAGTTGAAGAAACGCGGTCTGTGGTGACAGGAATACTCCATGTATTAGTAGTACTTGCTTTTGGAGAATCGGGGTTGGAGAGAAGGAAGGAGTTCAAGAGAAATGTGATGGTGGAGGCAACGGTGGCGATGGCGTTTGGGGAAGAAGTACCAATGAAAGCGGCGGCGACGGCGACGGCGACGACGACGACGACGCTAGTGATGATAGTTCATGTTTTATGTACTTTCCTTGTGGGTTTATATTTTAGGCAACCGCTTGGAAGATTCTTATATGTTTGCTAAAAAAAGAAGTAAAAAATTCAAAAAAAAATCTAGGACCGATTCAATGGTTGCTTTTTATTATTATGAATAAAAACTTTCGTTTCATCTTTTTATCGTTGGTCATACAAATCAAGTGTAGTTTTGAAATATAAACAAAAGTAGCAAATCTGATGGAGTTAGTGGAATCGAATGCCGGAAAGAAGATGATAATAATAATAATAATAATAATAATAATAATAATAATAATAATAATAATAATAATAATAATAATAGTAGTAGTAGTAGTGTTCTTCGCCTCGTTTTTATTTTTCTTCAAACATTTCTTAATTTAATATTTTTTCCTTCTTTCTTTTTGTTTCTCTCTTTCTATTTATATTTGTTCTGATTAGATTATTTCTTTCTTCCCTTCTTTCCTTCCTTCTTTGTTTCTTTTTGGTTCTATGTATTTATATCTGTTCTGATTCTTTCTTTCTTTTTTTCGTTTTTCTTTCTATTTTATGATTATTTTTCATTCTTTCCTTCTTTCTTTTTGTTTTTGTCATTCAATTGATACTTGTTCTGATTATTTCTTTCCTTCTTTCTTTCCTTCTTTCTTTCCTTCTTTCTTTCCTTCTTTCTTTCTATTTTTCTTTCTCTCCTTCTTTCTTTCCTTTCTTTTAGTTTATATTTGTTTTTATTTTTATTTTTTCTTTCTTTTTGTTTTCGTTATTCTATTCACATTTTTCTTATTATTTTTCCTTCTTTCTATCTTTCGTACTTTTTTGTTTTCTTGTTTTCTTGCTTTTTAGTTTCTGTCTGTTTTCTTTTTCTTGTTTTTCTTTTTCCTTTCTTTTTGCTATTTTTTCTGTTTAGATTTTCTTTCTCCCCAATTTTCTTTCTTTCTTTCTTTCTTTCTTTCTTTCTTTCTTTCTTTCTTTCTTTCTTTTTCTTTATTCAACCTACTCTCCTTTCGTTTTTTTTTCAGTTATTTTTTATCTCTTTTCACTTTCATTCGAATTCTTAGTCTCTTATAATTGTTTTATTCATTAATTCATTTTTTTAAACATCTTCCATTTTCAAAAATGTTTTTTCTTTTTTTATTTCTTTCTTTTTAAATGTTATTTTAAATATATTTCTTATTTGTTCATATTTATTTCTTTTTTTTAAATTATTTTTTAACACATTTTTTTTTCTTTCCGTCTTTTTAGTTACTTTCTTTCATTTTCTTTTTAGACATTCTTATCAAGAATTTTTTTCTTTCTTAATAAACTTATCTTTTATTTTATATCATGTTTTTTCTTTCAATTTATTTTCTTACCCGCTTCCCACTATCGGCTTTTCCAATTTACATTTTTTTCTCTTTCATTTTTTACTTCATCACTTTTTTAGCTTCCGACTCGTATATTATGTGATTTTTTTCATCGTTTGCATATTTTCATCCACTTTAGACTTTCTTTCAGCTGTCTGTCTGTTTGTCTTTCTCTCAGTCTCCCTCTGTTTAGAACAACAACCCCAACTTAAAATCTTCGTCTTCAGCATTTTAT